GTTGAGCCTCAAAAAGAATTTGGGAGCCATTGAGATTCAGCGAGAGAATATAGAAGCAGTGAAACATAAAAGCAACACTGTACACTTATGCGATTGGATGATATGCGATATGATATATTTTTTGAGCTGCACAAGAATATAGATGGCAATGCTACGATTCCAAGGAAGAGTTTTCGATAACAGTCGATTCTGAACACAAATGTCAGTGCAAAAGTCATCAATTTCCTATCAAAGATTCCGTTTCCTGAATAGACGAGACTAGGAACCTACTAGGATGCATAAATAACACCGTGTCAACTCGTTTCTTATCGAGAGGACGAAAGAAAATCGAATTGGCGTTGATCGGCAATACTAAAACATTGAGTATATGAAGCTTGAGGTCACCCATAAAAGAGAATCTTGAGAAGAGAATCTCGCAAAAGAAAGCAACTGGAGTGGGAAAAACCTTATTTTGCTGGTCATTGTCATTTCCCGCGTGGCAAGATTTATCATCAAATGAACTAGTTGTTCATCCAGTTCGTTGACAATTTCCGTATCCGATACTACATTGTTGATAGCTTTCAGAACAAGAGCCTTATTTGATGCTGAGAGCTAAATTCAAAATAACGGTCAGCACAGGCACGAACAAGCTTCTTTAAGATAATCTATAAATCACCTTGGGATTCTGCAGCAGGTAGTGATGAGAAGCTGTGAGTAAAGTATTCGATTGGTTAACTCCGACAGCTCTCAAAGACTCGGACACCTAAACGAACTTAACTGAAAAAAGCCATTACATTATATATAGGCGAATCGCGGGCAGAGATAGATTGCCACTGCGGACCCTGTAGGCGTCTCTCAGATTAAACACACTTTCGCCCTCTTAGCCGTTTACTGCCTCTCCGCAGCACACTCTCTCCTATGACGCAACGGCGTCCAGCCTTTGCGTGCAATGAATCGTCTATTGAGAAACACAACGATTCTCAAAAAAAGTTGTAAGGAAAACTTGAATGTCTATACACAAAATATTTGGTGCAATTTTACTCTCATTCGCTTTTGGCCGTTTCCAAGCGAAGTTTACAACTTTTTCCAAATCAGCGAATGTCTCAACATGTCTCTTGCAATATTCTGCATGAAATGCGTCGCTTTGAGAATTGCAAGAAAATTCTTGAAACTGCTAATTCTTGAAATTTTAAAACTTTCGTCATCGCGGTCGAGCAGAACGACATTACGACACCAGTGCCTCTAATTAAGGCAATCAGTGAAAGAGAAAGGCAATCAGTGAAACAAGAGATGGGCGAGAACAAGAAATCGCTGAAAATACACCTCGATAAGTGGCTCATAGGACTTTGATTCAGATGTTATGTCCGGTAGATATCAGATATAAAGTTGCCTAGAAACCCTAACGCTTACCTTAGCATGCATCTGCCCGAAAAGCCATAGATAATGTTCGGAACGAGCTTAAATTAATCACAAAAACCACTCCATCAAAGTCAACGATGTCTCAGCAAGTCGAAAAGAGCCAAACACTGAAAGTGATTGAGTGCATCCGCACGAAAATTTGAAACATAAACCTGAAAACGAGGAACTTACAGCAACATAAACATCAACGCGACGAAGAGCAACGCGGAAAAGAAAAAAACGGCAAAGAAACGCGGAAAAACAGCAAAATCAAAGAAACAACGACTAAAATATGGAGAAAGAGCGTAAACAGAGGACTCATCACCGTGGAGTTAGACGTTTGCTTGGCTACGCGCCAAATCGATACGCAGCCTGCTCCGGAGCCCTCCCATGTGTGCTCCGGGGCCCTCCCATTTTGTGCTCCGGAGCCCTCCCATGTGTGCTCCGGGGCCCTCCCATTTTGTGCTCCGGAGCCCTCCCATTTGTGCTCCGGGGCCCTCCCATTTCTGCTCCGGAGACCTCCCATTTCTGCTCCGGAGACCTCCCATTTCTGCTCCGGAGCCCTCCCATTTTGTGCTCCGGAGCCCTCCCATTTTGTGCTCCGGAGCCCTCCCATTTGTGCTCCGGAGACCTCCCATTTGTGCTCCGGACCCCTCCGATTTTCTCCGGCGCGGCTCTTTCAAATCTGGCGGACTCGCGGCGGGCAAATTTCTCCGGCGCGGCTCCGCCAAATCTGGCGTATCTCCGGAGCAGAAATGGCGTACCTTTGCAGCAGGGCCGGAGAAAGGTCCCACTTGCCTGCCAGTGATGTCACCGCGACCTACAAGAAGGGACTGCCCAATCGCCCCGCTCTCATTGGTCAACTGGGTCCGGCGCGACTCTGGCAGATTCCGACTGTCCGGCGGAGGGGTCCGGTCGATTGTCTGAGGGGCTTAATCGCTGTTCACACATGTGCTTTCATTAGCTGAATAGTGTGAAAATTGGTAATGCAGAAGTTGTTTTGAGTGCGATACGACATGATGATTTTCAATGCTGACTTGGCCTTCTACCAACTAAAATCATTTACAGATGCTCAGAAATAGAAACGCTAAGTGCGCGATATTTACATCAACCGTGATGAGTACTCAGTATGAAGTATGGTGTGCGTTCTGCAACCCTAGAGAAGACGTGCTATCAGAATGTAAAGGAGACTTTGACACCTTGAGAGCCAATAAGCGTATCGGAATTAGAGATTATATTGCATAAATGCTTGCAACAAGACTTCTAAACACTCGTTTTTCAATTTTTATTTCAATGAAATTTAGAGAGCACCTAAAAACGCTCTCTATCCCTATTGGAGCGTTATTAACAAAAACGAATATATCAGTTAGCCAACCATACATGAAAAACTCGTATGTACCAATCGTTGGCATGTTGAAGCTGCGGGAAGTACGGTACTCTTCGGAGGAGAAAAGTCTGAAGACCTCTGAAGGTTATCCTGACGCACCTTGCAGCATCTCATCACAATCGTCCTAGTGGTGCTTCGAAGAAATCAGACAGAATTTTTTTAAACGCCACCCGAATTTCTGCTGTTGTACCCCAAAGTCCCTGAACATGTGACATTTCATTCGAAAGACTTTCCAAGCTCTTCTTAGTGGTTACATAAGTATGCAGAAAAAACTTTTCATTATTCTGTATAAAAGGAGCAGGTCATCAAAAGCGCGAATTTGAACTAGATTTTTTGACCTAAAACACATTCTGGCTAATAATTTTTGAAATTAGGAAAGCCGAAGTAAGTTGCATATATTTGGATAGGCAGGGTTCATACTGAGCCGCACAAAGCGGCACAGTTCCCGCACAGCGCTCGAACTGTGCTCGAACTGTGCCGGAACAGCGCTGCATGCGCTGCAGCCGCCCCGCACGCGTCTTGAACGGCGGGAGTTGGAGTATTTTGACCGTTTTCAACGGTTTTTGTTCCAGATTTCTCTCATTTGAGCCTTTTTCCTCTACCCCGCTTCCCTTTTTGATCAGTAGAACTTCGAACTCGAAGCGGGGTTGAGGAATAAGCGCTGTTTTGCTCTATGTGTCCGATTATGCGTGTTGTCCCGCTCGTTCATCGTATTGTTCCGCTCGTTCATCGCGTTTTCGTTCCAGTCGTGCACGAAACTATTCCATTTATTTCCAGAAGGCCGCTGCGATACTTCGCAGGCAATTGTATTCGAGGAGAGCAAAAGAAAACAGTGCAGAATAGCAGGGAATCCCATCAATCTTTTGGTGAGTACCGACTTTTGAGCTTCTAGCCCTTTTCTTTTCTCATTCCATTGTTTCTTCGTTCTTTCTTCTACCCCGCTTCCCTTTTTGTCGTGTAGAGCTCCGTACTCGAAGCGGGGTAGAGAAATGAACGCGGCCGTGCTCCATGCGTCCTCCCAGCCGCTCTCCCATCTCTTTTCTTTTTTCATTCCATTGTTTTTTCATTCTTTCTTTTACAGGTTGTTCAATCTGCTGGTGAGGATGAATCGTCCATTCGATGTTTCTCAGCTTCGCTTTGCACGATCGTCAAACCTCAACGAAAATTCCTGGAGGAATCGAAGGTTTACAAGTCAGTAATTACTACCGTTTATTGCTTATTATTATCGTTACTTATAAGTTAGTAATTACCATTACTTATTATTATCGCTACTCATTAATTAGTAATTACCATTACTTACTGCATCATCTTGCAATGGGTTGTTTCGTATTGCCGCGCTGACTGCAGCAGTCTGCAGCTGACTGCACTGACCGCAGCAGACTGCAGCAGGCTGCAACTGACTGCACTGACCGCAGCAGACTGCAGCAGGCTGCGCTGACCGCACTAACCGCAGCGGTCGCACAGACGCCGCATGCTTTCGTAGCAGAGAAAACAATTGCGATTTGTCCGAACAGCATGATTTACACCTAGGAAGTTCATAGGTTCTGACTTAACTTCTCAATCAGATTTTGGCGATTGTTTTTCTTTTTTTTATATTTGTTCTGATTCCTCCTGTTATTGCATATACCTGTTTTGCCCTCGCTCGTGTTGTCTTTTGGGTCTAGGCATATGTTGGTTGTTGATTTTTGGGCTACAACTGTTTATCCTCTCCGACTTCACAATAGGATACAGCGATCTGTGCGGCCCTTGCGGTCAGTGCGGTCATGCAGTCTGCTGCAGACTGCTGCAGTCAGCTGCGGTCAGGGTCAGCTGCAGTCAGCTGCGGTCTGCTGCAGTCTGCTGCGGTCAGGGTCAGCTGCACTCAGCTGCGGTCTGCTGCAGTCTGCTGCGGTCAGTGCGGCAGTTTAAAACAATCAATGAGGGTGTGTTGCAAGATATGTGCAGTGTTGATTGGCTCCCAGATTCGTGTGGAGGCGGGTTGCGAACTTTATAAGAATACATTTCTTAGTCCATATTATTGAAGTGCCGTTCATACTTTCTCGCTATCGAGAACCGATGTCCGCCTTGAGCTTACAAGACTCCTTCTACACACGAATCTGGGACCAATGATATGTGTGCGGTAATGCTCAAAATCTGACCACCCCCTCATCGATTCCGTCATATTTCAGATACGAGACATGGGTTCTACCGTCGCCTCTACTCCGCACTTCTCAATCTTGAAGAAACCCTTTCAAACATGTATACTGCGTACGATCGCCGGGAGTACGTCCGCAGGGAGCACCTGCCGTTTCTCAGGACACGTTTTTTGATTTACGACGAATACCTTATTACGAGGAGGCCCGCATCATTTCTCGAGTTCTCGAGACTCCTCCCACATGAGTTTGAAGATTTATACCAGCGCATCGCGAGGACGCTGGAGCATTACCCTACCCATGCAGGGCCCATCACAGGGCGCCAGAGACTAATGCTGTTTCTTAGGTAAGTAGCAAAGCCTCTCATCGACGATGTCATCTAGTCAGCTACTTTGCAGGTTTGTAGCCAGGGGAGGGACTTTCACTTCATGCGCTTTAGATGCGTGCTGTGGAAAGTCGACTGTATCATGTTTGGTGGCTGAAGTCACCGAAGCAATAATCAGAGGTACTATAGAGCGGTGAAAAACAAAGTCTTTTGAGAAGTTATTTGTGCATGTCCCATGATGTCGTAGTGGAACCTTACTTTTTTCAGAGCTACACGATTTCGCATTTCCTCCGCTCACGCGGGATATGATGGAGGAGACGGCTAGACTCACTCAAGAGCGTTTCGATTATCCAAGAGGTGTTGCCTTCATGGACGGCAAACACATTGCCATTGACGTCAGTTCTCAAAATTTTGCAAAGGACAACACTAAGCAGTTAAATTTGGCAATTTAGAAGCCTCCACACTCAGGGAGCATGTTTTGGAATTACAAAAATTTTTATTCTATTATACTCTTGGCAATTGCGGACGGCAACTATCGCGTACTAGCGTATGACGTCGGGGCTGCAGGACGCGCCGGCGACGCCGGTGTCTACCGTTCCTCCCCTATAAAGGTAGACATTATGACATCGCTAATCATTACGGTACTAAAATCAGCTTAAGCAGAGATGGTTGGACAGCCATGACGACATTTTTCCTCCAACCAGATTTCTCGGAAACGTAGGACCGGTACAGTATCATATACTAGTCGATGGCGGCTTTGGTCAAGATTTCCGACTTGTAAGGCCTTACCGGGAACTAGAATGTGATACGCCTGATAAGAGGAGGTTTAATGAAAAATTTTGCGGGTACGACATAATCCCTTCTTAGCTTACTTCTAACATATACCTTTTTAGAGCGCGCCGACTCGTTGAATCCACTTTCGGAATTCTTGCACAACGATTCCGAATCCTAATGCAGCCTATGCATATGAGCCCGAAAAGAGCGAGCCGCATAGTTATAGCGCTTTTGGTTGGTCAGACAACATACTTATTTGTATCAAATGGGACTGGTTTTTTTTGCAGATCTTACATAATATCTTGCCAAGGAGACAAGATGTTCTTCAAGGAGTACAACGATATCCGCATGAAGATGGGCAACTTCATTCCCTTCAAAGAACAGCGCCTGTAAGGGGTCCGAACGCAGCAAAACTAGCTCGCGAACGAATTACCATGTACTATGTGGACAAGTATGGCCATGCTGTCGATTGATCATCAATGTACATTTTTTACTGCCTGTAAACATGAGCAGTGTTTGATCTTATGCTTACATCTGTTGGTCCAAATAAAAGCTGTTGCACCAACACTGGAAAAATTGAACTGCTAAATTGATACCTTTATTTTTTTTGCTTTCATCAATGTTTCATCCATTCACGCACGTACTCAACGGAGATGAATCAGTGGAAACTTCTTGATATAACAGTTTTATTGTTGAGAAAAGTACCACAAAACTTTACTTCTGCAAGTTGACGTACACAAGTTTTAGGAGAAATGTCTTCAGTACCAAAATTATCAAGTAACAGGTAGGCAGCATGCGAAATCTGAAAGATTCAATGAAAAAAAAAGGCAGTTTCAAAGGCAAAAGACATCTTCGAGATCTGGAAATTTTTTGAGAACCGGCAATGACTTCTTGAGATCGGAACAACAACACGGTATGAGGCAAAAGAGATTACCAAGGCTGCATTCATACTAATCCGAAAGTTCGGGAACAGTTCCAGCAGAGCGCTCCAATTGAGCGCTGTGCTGGAACTGTTCCCGAACTTTCGGATTAGTATGAATGCAGTCTAAACAGCAGCATATCTACACATCGATACGCTCCTGGCTTCCGACTACTTCTTCGACAACTTCGACGTCTTCGGGATATTGTTCGACAACTTCGACGTCTTCGGGAAATCGATATCTTCTACTAGGACCAACTTCCTCGCCACGTTCGTAGACAACGTAAGCATCTGCTCCGGTCACAAGTGCATTGAACAAGATCTGCATTTTCTGGTCTGCTACGGCTTTGGGAAGCTCATTCAAAGCGTCTCCAATGAAAGCACCTGCAAACTCCTCGTCAGAAACTCGTGAACCGCTTATAATTCAACATACCGAAAGTGTAGTATTTGTTGCCGACAGATCCAACGTCCTCGCTCAACCGATCCCAAACAGCGCTGGTTGCGCTTCTTACTGCGTTCAATTCTAAAGCGATTTGTTATAATACCGATTTCTTTCATAAGAACTCACCATCTTCAGCGAGCAACCTCCTTCTCTTCCTTGACGAACTAGCGCTTGAATTTCTTGCCACGCTCGATGGTTGTGAAGATTGAGCTGAAGAATACTGAGCTAGTCATAATGTGCTTGAGATATATGAAACAGACTTACACAAACTTTCGCTGAATACAGAGCTGCTTTCCAATTCGTGATCGCCATCATTATTCAAATTCGACATACGAGTGCTAAAAATTGAATATGTGCTTCCCTTCAACCCAAACCACACTTTATACCTTCCAGAGGGAGCTGCAGCGCTATCCAAAAACGAAAGTTTCCTTACAAGTGGGTCTGCAGTTTGTGCCGTGGAGCCAGAGTACTTGATTTTGAAGCGGTTATAGTGCTGCTTCATACCTTTCCACATTTTTCTCAAATACTCAGCTGCAAAGATGACAATCGCTTATGCTACTATAGCAGCCTTCACAGCGCACTCTTGACCACATTAACTCACTATCTTTTGTAAATCCTTTACTTGTCATTTTCTCATACACTCTAGACCAAGCTGCCATACGTAAATTTTTGAACTTATATTCTTCGCAAGAGATGTCCCATATGGACCTCTCTTCCTCTACATACAGCGCAAGCAGTTCTTGCCACACTTGGGGGGTGTCTAAAGTGAAAATAGATTTAGATGTTCATCAACGCCACCCAATCTCTGAGGTTTCTCAGGGTCTGCTTGATCCTCTTGTTTCACTGCTGCGCAAGATTGAAACAAGGGGGAGACAGCTCTGAGCTGGCTCAAAGATATCAAGGACCTGATTTGGGGCATTTGATATCCATCACAGTGGGATGTCTGCATCAAAAATAGCTTCAACCCTCGGCGTATTCCCAAACAACCCAAACATTAACAGGCACATTCAGAGATTAGACATGTTGGACACAAAAACATATAAAGGAACAATAATAAGTTAGGAGACAAAACTTACCGAGACAGGCCATGATCCGATTCTGGAATCAGAGAGCGTAAGATTTTCTCTTCGGACTGAAAAAGCATCGTCAATGAAGTGTCACCGTCAAGTTCAATCAGATGTTCTCTTCAGGTTTCTCAAGATGTTTATTTTTTGAAGATGGCTGTGTTCATACTAATAATGAAGTGGGAACAGTTTCAGCACAGCGCTTAAACTGAGCGCTGTGCTGGAACAGTTCCTGAAGAACTTCAGGATTAGTATGAACACAGTCCATGATTTGGAGATAGCGGCCAAGAAGAGAGTGGTAAACATCAAGACAATGCCTATACCATAAGCAAGGTCATCCGACGATTGTTTGGTGCCAACGTAGTTCTGATACCCATAAGCTTTGAGAATATGCATGATTACAACAGGTGAATTCAAGCTCCCGGTTTGTTACAATGGGTCAATGACTGACTCCAAAACATGAACAGTGTTGGGAGGACGCATGGAGCACGGCCGCGTTCATTTCTCTACCCCGCTTCGAGTACGGAGCTCTACACGACGAAAAGGGAAGCGGGGTAGAAGAAAGAACGAAGAAACAATGGAATGAAAAAAGAAAAGAGATGGGAGAGCGGCTGGGAGGACGCATGGAGCACGGCCGCGTTCATTTCTCTACCCCGCTTCGAGTACGGAGCTCTACACGACAAAAAGGGAAGCGGGGTAGAAGAAAGAACGAAGAAACAATGGAATGAGAAAAGAAAAGGGCTAGAAGCTCAAAAGTCGGTACTCACCAAAAGATTGATGGGATTCCCTGCTATTCTGCACTGTTTTCTTTTGCTCTCCTCGAATACAATTGCCTGCGAAGTATCGCAGCGGCCTTCTGGAAATAAATGGAATAGTTTCGTGCACGACTGGAACGAAAACGCGATGAACGAGCGGAACAATACGATGAACGAGCGGGACAACACGCATAATCGGACACATAGAGCAAAACAGCGCTTATTCCTCAACCCCGCTTCGAGTTCGAAGTTCTACTGATCAAAAAGGGAAGCGGGGTAGAGGAAAAAGGCTCAAATGAGAGAAATCTGGAACAAAAACCGTTGAAAACGGTCAAAATACTCCAACTCCCGCCGTTCAAGACGCGTGCGGGGCGGCTGCAGCGCATGCAGCGCTGTTCCGGCACAGTTCGAGCACAGTTCGAGCGCTGTGCGGGAACTGTGCCGCTTTGTGCGGCTCAGTATGAACCCTGCCATAAGCGCAAAAGGCTCTAACAGATGCTGACCGTCAAAAGCAAGCTCAGTCGATTACCCCAATGAGAGAATGTATAACATGCCTTTCAATGCTTAGGTTGTATCTTCGCTTGCAAAGCGTTGGGACCACCAGGCTGATAAGATTTGATGGCGGTTTCCTTACAGTGCGGCAGAGATATTTTTGATAGCCTCACTTGTTCTGCTGCGGCTGCGTTGCTCGACGTTCAAAATTATTCAAATGATGCGCTTTTGATTTTGGGCCCTTGTAAAAATGAGGATGCGATGAGACAGGGCCCACGTATAAACCTTGATTAGAAGGTGTTGTGATATTTACTAACAACAACATAGCATGCAATCAATTTTTTCTTCGAGGAAATTTGATAGCATTTAATTATTTTATTCCGTTTATTCTCCAAGGGCCGTATTCATCAACAAACCCGGTGGGTTCCGTGAGATCCAGATCGATTGGGTTCGCGAACCCGGTGGATTCCGTGGGTTTAGGAACCCACTGGGTAAGATCGGTATTCACAAGTGCCCCTCTGTGTTTGCAAACCCATAACGTCACCAGTGTGCCTCTCCAGCGTGTGTAATATTCTTCTCATCTCTCGACACACACGGATCGAGCTGTACTAAAAGCGTCAGCACGCTTGACGCACATGAATAAACATCCTCTTTGACAAAAGTTGCACTTCCTTTATTCTGTTCTTCGAGTATTCTCTCCGACTCAGACATGACTGTCGACAATAATATGTGTGGAAATGGATGCAAAAAAGGGCTCTACTCTTTTTTGCACAAGTGATCTTTCTTGTTCAGAGTTGTCTTCCACCTCGTAAGGAAGATATGCGCCACGTTTTTCGAAGTTTGCACGACATAGCTGACACATTCACGAATCCGCATAGTTCAAAGAGTCATGGAGCAAGGAATAGCTAGGTTTTATTTTAGATCTATTATTTTGCTGTACATGACAAGTAAAGCTATGCTCTTTCTCAAACACCTACTTTCAAATGAAATTTTCATCATTAGTGGCAAGGTGCATATTCGCAGCAAGCGCTCGAGTCCTTTTGTCCAATCGTATTTCTTGTGCGAGGACGCCCGAATGGTAGATGGAGTAGGATTTCCTTAACTTGGATTGTGCAAAGGTATCATCGACAGAGTGCTAATCTCTATGATGTTAACTAGTATGTGAATACATTACTACTTTTTCCCTTTCTCATTGATTTTTACTCCAAGGGATTAAGGAACAAACGATTTTGATCAAAAACCGTTTTTTCCATTTCTTTGAGCATTATCTGACTTTATTAGATTGAGTGCAAAAAATGCGGAATAAACGAACATAGACAAACATGGACAACCGAATACATAAACATGAATGCAGGCAGACTCTGGCCCGTAGTAATCCCCCGTCGTGATGGATGCGACGTCCAAAACATCGCATGTACCCAGTATGTGTGGTTTCGGCCGCGACTCGTCCGGCGGCTATCTCTTATCACGGCCGCGCGGCGAAATCGCTGGACGTTGTGACTGCAGGGCATGCTCGTCCTCGTGCGCAGAGGACGAGCACCTAGTGAACGTCGCCATTTGAGGGGCAGATAAAGAAAAATAGTGGGCCCAGCGTGGAGACGCAGGAAGGCGCAACCGACTAAAAGTCGAGTACCAAGTTCGTTCTGTGCGCAAGGACCGTAGGCACACAGCACTATAGCGCATGCCAAGTGCGATCGATATCAACAGCTGATCAGTGGAATGGCTTCGCGCTAGGCAGCAATTTGTCTTTCTAAGACGTCTTTTATTCTGCTTTGTTTTGCTTTTACCCAAAAATGTGAGTTTCTTTTTATTATCATACATCTCAGATTCTTGCTCGGCCAAATTTCGTGGTTTTTAGCGGGTTTGTCTTTGTTAGATAAGTCGCGGGTGGCCACGTCAGTTTTTCACAAATTCCTTCTGCGTGCCTCGGTCGATTTGCTTAATATGTGCTGCATTCATAAGTTTATTGTTCCTTCATTGACTGTGCAATGAATGTTTTCCTTCTTTCCGAGTAGGAAATCATTTGGTGTGTAGCTGATGGAAACCGCTTATGATTGCACATTTTGAACCAGTTATTATTTCCTGATTTTTTCGATATTCTTTGTAGAATTTCGGAATTTTTATGTTTCGCATGCCATTTCCAAGTTAGAGGCTTTTGAATGTTTTTTAGAATGCGATTTTTTTAACATGTAATCTAATCGTCTTTCCAATTCGTAAAAGAATCCCTTCAGTGGTACTTGTGCGCGCGACATCTAATTCAGCAGCTTGCAACAGTGACTTTGCGCGTGCAGTGGTCCAGGATACACTTGATTTTTGTACCTCATATACATTCGGGTGGGGCCGGAGGGGGAGGGGGGAGGGGGGGGGGGGTAGCGTTTACAGATCCGTAGGTGCGAGGTCTAGGGCGAAGGGGAATCTGCTTATCCTTTCTTGTACTAAGTTGATCGTTACTGCCCTATCTGAACTTTGCTACATCCTTTCTTTCGTAGATTATTTGTGTGATCAACGACCTTTACACTGTGGAAGCATCTTGTATGTTATCTTTGATATCCACTAGCTTGTCGATGACAAACCTTACTACTTACTGTCCCACTTCAGCCGCAGGTCATTCCTTCAGTGTGCTCAGTAGTCTACTTGACGGCGCCTACTATCATGTAGGCAATCCTTGATTCCGTATGATACTGTTGTTTGCCACAAACGGGCATTCAGGTTATTCACGCCCAAAACAGCGGCATAAAAGGGCCTGAATACTCAGCTCTGGTGTTGGTTCAATATATTACCACTATCAGCGGCTGTCTCGCATTATTCACTGTTTCTAGTCAGCGATTGCTCCGCTACTATCTAATAAACAGTTATACAACGTAGTGGCACCAGCTTAGTCTATACCAGCTTTCGTTAATATCCACCATTAATAGGTGGAGTGCAGTGGCAGAGCGCGCCATCGAATACTGTCAAAGACTTGCGTGTGCGTACCCAAGTTTTGCGGCGATCGTTCAGTCGGACACGTGTTAACCTCGCTTTCTTTACATTACGACATATCTCGGGTGCTTACTACGGGCCTCTCTTTGCTGTATGAGGCTCCCTCTGTAGTTGCAGCAGTATCAGAAATTTTTCAAGATAGCATGAGCTTAGGTTCTTTACAATTTGACGAAAAAATTTCCGTCAAAAAGCTTGCTTGCGACTTATCACAGACTGCCTAGTCATAACTGGCATCAAGATGCTAGTCATCGCATGTCTAGTCATGCATCTCAGTCTAATATTTCATCAAAGTTTACCCAACAAAATTTCTATGCTATGAAGAATGTGGAATGGTTTCTAATGTATATGTGTTGCTAGGGGTGACCATCCCTGCTTTAAGTCCAAATAATGTTCAGCAAAAGGCACCATGCTTAGATTCGCTAACCGAGCGCTCCTCAGACAATTGCCGGGGGCAGGCGGGCACCGGAAAAATAGATGGCTGATTTCTCGCACGCCGCTCGCGGATTTTTTGGAAAGCAATCAGGATTTCGAAACGCCGCTTGCTTAGTTCTCGATTCTCAGAGATTCGGCATATAATCTGCAAAAATAAGAGCAAAAAAAATTCAACAGGCGGTCTCTCAAAAATCGCAAAAACATTATCTTGGAACTTGCGAGCGGAATGCGAAGTTTCAGCAACGCGTATTTTCCGGCGCCCGCCTGCCCCCGGCGATTGTCTGAGCTCATTGGGTTCCGGAATCCACGAGAAACTGGGCAACTTGTTTCGTAAATGCCAGTATGCTCGCCTTTCGTGAACCCATTGGGTAGGGTTAATTTACTAGCTTCATGAGCAACGATCTCGTGGGTTAAGCCTACATAATGGGTTCCGGAATCCACTGGGTTCGTTGATGAATACGGCCACAGAATTGACTTGTATCAAACTTGAGCGGCGACGCAGTTTTCTAATTTGAAGCGTCAATATCACCATGCTTTGAGAGCAAAAATTTGCTGGATTAAAAGGCTGACTTTTTAAGAATTTTTCAAAGAAACACTAAACTCTATTGCAAAGCAAGTAAATATCCTCGCAGAAGGTAAATCATTTTTCCACTATTGTGAATTTTAAGTTACTCCTAACAAGGGAACTCAGTCGAAGTGATCTTTCCACATAAAACTTGTTTCACTTTGTAGAGCATTAAACGATGATGTCAAGTCTATCTTGTTTCTTTGCGGAATGACTCTACGAAGGAAGTTGTGAGTGTTTGAATGCCTAAATTTGTAACGCTGTGGGGTGCAAAAAAATTGGCAAAAAGCTCAGAAAAACAGCTGAAAGTAGGCAAATTAAATTTGTATTAGGTATATTGAACACAAGAAAGGAACATGGCTTGTGCAAACCGCACAGGTTTTTTTGCACAGCTTTTCGCTAATTTTATGCCACTTAAGTCTTGGCAAATTTGAGCTTTCGAATGCTCATAACTTTTTTCGGAGAGCTGTTATGCAAAAGAGGAAGACAGATTAGGAATCATCGTACAGTTTGCCCCAATTCTAATCAGGCCAAAATTGGCATGGCGGGAATCCGCGCCGTGAGGGTTTCGCGCCACCTCTGCGGCTAGCTTGTCTGCTCTCTCCTCATTCTCTTCACTCTCTGCGACAGCGCGCGTA